CATGCAAATACCTAAAAACACAAATACAATTCATTTATTTATAAAGATAAGCTTAACAATTTATTAATTGAGTATGTTTATTGGGTTAACATCCATTTATACAAGATAAAATCAAGTTGGAGGGAAAAAAATGCTTGACATGAGGCGGAAATCACTTCAACTAGTTTCAAACACTTAATATNTATAAAGATAAGCTTAACAATTTATTAATTGAGTATGTTTATTGGGTTAACATCCATTTATACAAGATAAAATCAAGTTGGAGGGAAAAAATGCTTGACATGAGGCGGAAATCACTTCAACTAGTTTCAAACACTTAATTTTCATCAAACAAACACATTTTTACACACATAAATACTTAATTTCACATATTTAACAAACAAGGTATATTGTTAATATATCAATTTAGCAAATAATAATAATATACAGTAATAAAATAAAAAGGGAAAATGGGAATTATAACAAGGGTTATTAACAATGATAAAAGAAAAAAGGGGGGGAAGGCATTAACTTAATTAACAAAAATAAAAGACATGACAAAAATAAAATACCTAGATAAAATAAAATAAAAAGAGGGGGAAGGGTTTAAAACAGACGCTCGTCTTAACAAAACGCACGAGAAAGAGGGATGGGGGAGAGAACTAATAGTGAGTCTAAGACGCAGACTTACGCGAGTGAGAGAGAGAGAGAGAAGACCTGTAGATCAAACTAAGAAACACCCATCCCATCCCAGATCTATATATCCACCAAGAAGTAGACTCGATGAAGACCCAACAAAGAAGAAAGATGAAAAAGAGAAGAGAAAGGAAGAAGCTCATACCCAGAAGAGGCTGAATCTAGAAAGAGGGAGTGGAAGTGGCTTGGATCTGGACTCAAGGAGCTTAGCTGAACTCTTCTCCTTTCAATTTCTGGGTGTGCTCTCTATCTCTCTGTCTTTCTCCTCTATCTCTATTTCTCTCTCTCTCTGTTATGCTGAATAGCAATTTTATGAGCTTGGAATGACGATTTTCTAAGCTTTCTACAGAGGAAGAATCTCTCTTCTTCTTTGGTGTAGACCTGTAATTTTAGCAATCGAATGTTTCGCTCGAAACTCAAGAATTTTTTATTTTCACCCATGTTTCATGTTAGTATGTTGAAAATTCCAAACGTTTCGACATGATATGTCAATCCTTAGGAGCTAGATTTAATTGAAGCTATCACATTGCTAGCTCAATTCAAGGTTAAACCCCTGCTAGAAGATCGTATTCAAGATGCCCAAACTCAATATTCTTATTTGCTAAAGGTGAAAAAAGAAGCTAAAGACTCCAGACTGACATTGTNAAGACCCAACAAAGAAGAAAGATGAAAAAGAGAAGAGAAAGGAAGAAGCTCATACCCAGAAGAGGCTGAATCTAGAAAGAGGGAGTGGAAGTGGCTTGGATCTGGACTCAAGGAGCTTAGCTGAACTCTTCTCCTTTCAATTTCTGGGTGTGCTCTCTATCTCTCTGTCTTTCTCCTCTATCTCTATTTCTCTCTCTCTCTCTATTATGCTGAATAGCAATTTTATGAGCTTGGAATGACGATTTTCTAAGCTTTCTACAGAGGAAGAATCTCTCTTCTTTTTTGGTGTAGACCTGTAATTTTAGCAATCGAATGTTTCGCTCGAAACTCAAGAATTTTTTATTTTCACCCATGTTTCATGTTAGTATGTTGAAAATTCCAAACGTTTCGACATGATATGTCAATCCTTAGGAGCTAGATTTAATTGAAGCTAACACATTGCTAGCTCAATTCAAGGTTAAACCCCTGCTAGAAGATCATATTCAAGATGCCCAAACTCAATATTCTTATTTGCCAAAGGTGAAAAAAGAAGCTAAAGACTCCAGACTGACATTATGGTACGAGAAGATGATAGGTTACTATTTGGAACTCATCTTTGTGTACCTAATGACCCGGTGATGAAATAAGAGATATTAAAAGAGGCACACAATTCCACCTATGCTATGCACCCTAGTAGTAATAAAATGTATCGAGATTTATGGGAATACTATTGGTGGATGGGCATGAAATGTGAAATAGTTGAATATGTAGCTAAATGTTTGGTGTGTCAATAGGTTAAGGTGGAACATCAGCGTCCTGTAGGTTTGTTTCAACCACTCCTTATTTCGGAATGGAAATGGGAGCAAATCACAATGGATTTTGTAATGGGTTTACCCCGTACCCTAAAGGTCTATGACTNATTCCAAACGTTTCGACATGATATGTCAATCCTTAGGAGCTAGATTTAATTGAAGCTAACACATTGCTAGCTCAATTCAAGGTTAAACCCCTGCTAGAAGATCATATTCAAGATGCCCAAACTCAATATTCTTATTTGCCAAAGGTGAAAAAAGAAGCTAAAGACTCCAGACTGACATTATGGTACGAGAAGATGATAGGTTACTATTTGGAACTCATCTTTGTGTACCTAATGACCCGGTGATGAAATAAGAGATATTAAAAGAGGCACACAATTCCACCTATGCTATGCACCCTAGTAGTAATAAAATGTATCGAGATTTATGGGAATACTATTGGTGGATGGGCATGAAATGTGAAATAGTTGAATATGTAGCTAAATGTTTGGTGTGTCAATAGGTTAAGGTGGAACATAAGCGTCCTGTAGGTTTGTTTCAACCACTCCCTATTTCGGAATGGAAATGGGAGCAAATCACAATGGATTTTGTAATGGGTTTACCCCGTACCCCAAAGGTCTATGAATCAGTTTGGGTGATTGATGATTGTTTGACAAAGTCTGCCCATTTCCTTGCAGTAAAGACAAATTTATCGTTGGACAGGTATGCTAAATTGTACGTAGATGAGATTGTATGTTTGCATGGAGCACTAGTATCCATTGTTCCGGACAGAGATCCAAGGTTCACTTCTCGATTCTGGCTAAGTTTACAACAGGCTATAGGTACTACGTTGAAATTTAGTTCAGCTTTCCACCCTCAAATGGATGGACAGTCAGAACGTGTCATCCAAATCCTATAGGATATGCTAAGAACTTGTGTGATGGAATTCAAGGGTAGTTATGATGACCATCTCTCGCTGATGAAATTTGCCTATAATTCCTTAAGTACAAATGTAGCCTTAGTGGTGAATGTGAGATGGCCTTAGTGGCGGACTTGATATGGCCTTAGTGGCTACTGTGGTATCCTTTAGTGGCAAAATTATGAAATGACCTAAGTGGTATATATATAGAGAGAGAAGATGTCTAAACATGAGTGACGGTGCTACTAGAGATTCCATTTCCTTCTTATATGTGAACCAAAATGTAACTGTTATAAAATTAATGTTATTTCTTACATTTGTATTATATACTCACTGAGCTCTCTAATGCTCACTCTCGTTAGTTTTCCTATTCCTCAGGTACCCCATGCTCGAAGAAAGTCCACTACTGAGTCTAGGAGGTTAAGAGAAAGTCAACCTTGGAATCTTTATCTGTTACAATGAGGTAACAATGGTGTTTTGTAAATATATGGTGTTCTAAATATTTTGTGGTTTGTAAAGTATAAAGCCTAGTAATGAACGTAACTCTTCTATGCATAGGACTTTAAGTTATGTTACAAGTACCAACTAGTATTCTTTTCTTAGTGAATGGGTTAATTTTTTTTACAGTTTCTAGGTCTTTGTCCAAATTATTGTTTCGATGTGGAATGTGTTATATTTAGGTTTGGGGTGTTATAAAGACCAAAGAAGAAAGGGTAAGATCGCCTTCCTATTTTCTCTCTTCTAAGTCAAGAAGTATAGAAGGTTTACTAAGTACGTGAAATGTGGGAAAGACTTGGTTTGTCCAAAAGTGGTGTAATGTTGAAGTGTTTATATAGGCCAAGGAAATGTCAAAAGACATTAGTGGCCATATGTTGGAAATCATCAACATTCATGATGATTTATGGTGGAGGATACGAAACATCAACATTCAATGTATAAAGACCGGCTATGTTAATACACGAAGCCCAAACGACGGATGCGTGATTTAGTGGTATTAATTGCCATAAGGGACAATCAAGGTGAGAAGATTAAAAAAAAGAGCCAATTTTATTTATTACTTTTCAAGAGGCCGTACAATATAACTAAAGATGGCCTCCAAATGAAACAAAGAGTTATTAACAGCCTTAAGTTTGGTCGTAATAGAGTTGGCTTGGCCAAGAGTATCATCAACAAGACACGTAGCACTTCGAGTAGCGGCCTCTAGTTGTGCAAACTGTTCATCAAAGGAAGCAACCTCCTCCAGCAAGCTAAGCTCTGCAATTTAATGAGTCACCAAGTAGAGTTGCCCATGACACACCGATATTTGGCTAGAAAGTTTGGCGAATTGACCAACATAGGACTTCCGGCTAATTAGCATGTCCCATCGGCCGCTAACAGTAGTTTAGTAGTCTTGTTGATTCTAATATAAAGGCTCTGCCTCTTGAAGAAACGCAGGAAGTTCAATAGCAAGTCATGCCAACACTTCATGGTCTTCAGCTATGAGTAAAAGGGGCATAAAAAAAAGCATTAACTACTTGAAGCCAAGAATCAATGAGATTCGGTTTGTCCAGCAAGACTTCTAGGCGACTATCCATGACGAACTTCATAGTTCTATGAGCCTCCTCAAAGTTAAGGTCTAAGATCCATTTCGAGTTTCACAAGAAAACTAGACCAACAAAAAGCAAGGCACTTAGGGAGGCCAGCAAGGAGTAAAGGCTAGACTCTATGGAAGAGATTGAGGCTTGACAAGGCATGACTTCTTGAGCCAGTGCGTCATTGGCCTGGGCTTGTACAATAGCTTGACTAACTTCTACACCTGATGGAGTAGTGCAAAATGTTTTTGAATCTCTAGAATATTGGGAATAACCTCAACATTTGGTGGTTTAACCATTATTTCTTCAAGAGAATTGGAGAGGGAAGCCAAAGATGCAATGGCCATAGTAAAGACAACTAAAATAGATTCGAGGGTTGGCCTCAAAGGCTCAAGACCATCAAATATGTTATCCTACGATGGGTCATTCGGAATGAGGATAAAAGTGGAAGGAGTCCCATTGCGCGAATGAACGAGGTGAACAAGAGAAATATCCTTAGCCACCTGATCATCATTGTGTTGAGCTTCCACATTCTGGTCAATCATGATGGTGGTTGACTTTTCGCGTTTCTCTCTAGACCGTGGCACAAGAGGTGAAGGTAAGCTGGTGGATGATGAGAGATCAACTTTTGCCGAAGGATTCATTTGAAGGGTTTGTTGATGACCAGAGAGCGAAGGAGAATTATGTACAAAACCAATCCTTGGAAAGTAAGGAAGAATGGTTGGAAAATGCACTTTGTGAAAGAGCAACAGATAAATCATCTTTAAATTTCTTGGAAATGTAACGTTCCCATCATGACCTAAATAACTCGATGGTATTAGTGATAGAGTTATATACTAAAAGATTATTTTTTGTAGTGAAATTCAGTTTATTATTTAATAAAAGTTCTTTATTTTCTATTCAGAATATGTATGGGTAAAATGTTTGCATTGTATTAAATATATGTTATTCGTGTGTGTCTATTATTTTACATTGTAAATAATCTGGTGTGTAGAATTTAGCTTAAACACAAAAGATCAGATTATCGAATCCTTGTATGATATGAGTAAAGAGGTTCATAGTTGTAGATGAAATTGGATACACTATCAATAGGATTGTAGTGAAATCTTTTGACATCTATATATTGCAACCAGATGGATTCGTAGCAAAGGGCCAAGAACATCTAATGTGCAATCTTAAGAGGTCTAGGTCTTGGAACATTCATTTTGATTAGACTATAAAATCTTATGATTTTGATCAATGCTCAAAAACGTGGTGGTGTTCCTAGGACTTTACGTGGATCATATCTTGCTCATAAAAAATGATGTTATCTTCTATTAGGGTATGGTTATCCAATTAGTTTGATATGAAGGATTTGGGGGAAGCTAATCACATCGTTGGGATCAAACTTATGCTAGATCGCAAGGATGACATTAGACTTATCTCAAGCTACCTATATTGTGATGCCCCTAAAATCGGGGGTTATTTTTTAACCGTTGACCACCCGTCAATCCACGGANTGATGTTATCTTCTATTAGGGTATGGTTATCCAATTAGTTTGATATGAAGGATTTGGGGGAAGCTAATCACATCGTTGGGATCAAACTTATGCTAGATCGCAAGGATGACATTAGACTTATCTCAAGCTACCTATATTGTGATGCCCCTAAAACCGGGGGTTATTTTTTAACCGTTGACCACCCGTCAATCCACGGAAATACCCGTGATTATCGCATAACCTGATATCACGTCAATAGCATCCCCTTAACTGAAATTATAACTCACATGTGTAACCCATGTACATTTTATCATTTAATCAAATTGTAGTCCAATGTACCACATTTCATACTCCATTATAGTCTATTTACATCATTTGGAAGGAAGGACACATGGCCCAAGAGCATGGCAAAACAGTGTTAAAATTTCAAATTTTTCGAAGGCTTACCAGTATGGCATACCAGTAGGATGAGCTTTCTGGAAAATTCCTACCATTAGGGTTTGCCTACTAGAAAATTCTACCAATAGGGTTTGCCTACTGGAAAAAGTTATACCAGTAGGCTTTGTCCAGTTTTGCCTGTTTCGCCTGTTTTTGATTCCCAACCCATTTCAATCCATTTCACCACCATCCAAAACATGCTTAATAAGGTTTTTCACATAAAACCTAATATATACAAGTTCTATTACAGCAATTTCATATGGTTACATACCCAAAACATAATTTTCACAATAGTTTTACAAAAAATGAATTCAAGGCCACAAATNCATTTCACCACCATCCAAAACATGCTTAATAAGGTTTTTCACATAAAACCTAATATATACAAGTTCTATTACAGCAATTTCATATGGTTACATACCCAAAACATAATTTTCACAATAGTTTTACAAAAAACGAATTCAAGGCCACAAGTCAGCCTTTCTTCATCACTGGGGCCCCGAATGAGAGTCGTCATCAGTGTGTATCCCCCGCCTGAAATATTTTCCCATATAGGATGAGCCACATCCAGTAGAGTATTTCCTACAAAGGCTACTCCCCCAACCTAGATGCATATGAAATGTGTACATATAACATTCAAGACAGNCTGGGGCCCCGAATGAGAGTCGTCATCAGTGTGTATCCCCCGCCTGAAATATTTTCTCATATAGGGTGAGCCACATCCAGTAGAGTATTTCCTACAGAAGCTACTCCCCCAACCTAGATGCATATGAAATATGTACATATAACATTCAAGACAGAAACAATCATTCCAAACAAGAATATGCAATTGAATGTTGGACTTTCTATCATGTCATGCCATGAAATGAGATGAGACTCACTCATTTCCTTTAACCCGAGCCCTTATTGGTTCCCACCACACAATACAATGCCAATGTATGGAGAAAGGACTCGTCATTGATGAATTACATCCAATGATCATTTTGAAATAAAGTCATGTGATTTTCAATCCAACTTTCCCGAGCCCACCCATCAACCACCATGTATGATGTTTGATTAAACCATGTACACACCCATACCCACACCCATGTCTCATGCCCATGGTTGTGATGCTTCCGTACATGTGCAATGTAATGCACCATTTCTATATCCATGTCATGCCCCATATGTAATGAATGTCATATGAGCAATTTAACCACATATATACATATTCCATGCCAAACCATATCTCATTCATATAATCACCATTTCATTTACACAATTTTCAAGCATGTTATCACATAATCATGCAATTGACACACTAAACTCATCAACGCAATAATGTAAACATATAACATGCCCATAAATCACATTTCTATGGTATTACACAAGCAACTACCACATATCAATTCCAAGCTAGGAATTTATTTTAAAACATTTCTAATACCCATTTCTATCAATTTCACAACAATTGGTAAGTGATATATAATTCTATCAACCTACCCATTACATATAACATCCTAGATTAGAAAATAAACCTAAGTAGGAGGGAACCCTACCTCTTGAAGTGTAAAAACACGTTGGGAAGCTCCAAGAACTTAGCCCGAGCTCTAATCCAAGCTCTCCCAAAATCTCGTCTTTCTGACCTTTGGTGAAAGCCTTCATTTTTGGTATGGTTGAGTAGCCCACGACCCAAGGAACAACTTTCCTTCTTGGCACGAGTGAATTCAAGCACCCAAGATTCGTAAATCGTAGAGAGAAGTGGAGAACTCCCTCTTTTTCCCTCTCTTCCTCTCTCATGTTAAAATCGGCTGAAGAATGGGGGAGAAATCATATTTTTCCCCTATTTATAGCCTTAGAATACTTGGCCCACAACACGCCACACGACCCTCTTTTTTCTGGATCCATNGGAGAAATCATATTTTTCCCCTATTTATAGCCTTAGAATACTTGGCCCACAACACGTCACACGACCCTCTTTTTTCTGGGTCCGTTTTCATTCTGAAATGATTAAATTTTGTCCTAGTTCAAGTTCAAAATATTTTTATTTTAACTTGCCTTAAATTATTTTTCAACTTTTGAAATTTTATTAAAAATTTTATTTTTGGGTCACCCGAGACTCGACCATCTCGTAAAACGTAAAAAATTTAACTATCTCAGAATTCGATGAAAATTGACGGGATAACTAGATTTCGCAAGAAGNTTTATTTTTGGGTCACCCGAGACTCGACCATCTCGTAAAACGTAAAAAATTTAACTTTCTCAAAATTCGATGAAAATTGACGGGATAACTAGATTTTGCAAGACGAATCCAACGATGAGGTCTGTTTTGTCATTCAAGTTCTAGAAAAATTTAAGTTTACAACCCGTACGGTAGTGACAAATTTACCGTTTTGCCCTTATTGTAAAAAGTTCTAATTTACTCGAGTTTTACAATATCAATACCATTATAGCCAATTTTAGCATGCAAAATTCCAAGAAGGAATTTCTTCCATTCAGACATGGAGTTTCTCTATCAAATGAGCAGTTTCTTAGGACACCTGAAGAGTTAGAGAGCATGAAGGCAGTTCCTTATGCTTCAACGGTGGGAAGTTTCATGTATGCTATGCTTTTCACTAGACCTGATATTTGTTTTGTTGTTGCCATGGTTAATAGATATCAGTCTAACCCTAAGTAAGAACATTGGACTGCGACAAAACATATTCTCAAGTTTTTGAAACGGATGAGAGATTATATGTTGATTTACCAGGCAAATAGTCTAGTACCCATCGACTACATAGACTTTGATTTTCAGTCCAATAAATACTCTAGCAAGTCCACTTCAGGATATGTGTTTAATCTAGGAGTGCTTGATTGATTTTCCCTAGTCTCCAAACTTGAACCCAGTTTGTGTGTATATGGCTTATATGAGTTAATGAGTGTCACTCTCCCTCGGGTTCAAATGCAAGAAATGAGAATATTGTGTGTATGTGAAAAAGTGCTCCCCAAGTGTATAGAGACTTGCAATGTCGTGTTTTACTTGGAACAAGTAGTCCAAGGTTGCCTCCATAGGGAAGGAAAGGTCAAATGCTTTAAAAGGTGATTTGTAAAGAAATGAAAATTGGAAAGTCTTGTGAATTGTGTTTTAGTGAGTTATGTTTTGAGAAAAAGGCAAGAAAACAAGGTTGGGTAATCCATGGAGGTCATTCCAGTGGGAATGCTAAATTGATTCAATTCATTCAACCAATGGTATCTTAGTGTTTGATTGATCCATACGAACTGAGGGACTAATATGGTTGTGTTCGACAAAAGCATACCCCGTGACAAGTTTACGATGTATCAAGAGCCCACAACGACGTTCGCACTCAATCTAGTCAAACCAAACATTTTACACTATAAGGAAGAATGAAAGAGAGTCGACTTCACATACCCAAGAGGAAATTCCTCTTGGATTAGCCAACTAAAAGTTTAGCTACTCATAATAAAGGGAAGAACAAACATAATGTAAAGAAACATAGTAGTGAAATGAAACATGAGACTTGTATTGATGCAAAAAAAGATTTAAACTACAAGAGCAAAGTCATTCATAACCAAAATACTAAGCTTGAAGGGAAAATACCCAATTGTAGAAATGAAAAAACAATAACACTTAACTAAGCTTAATTACAACTTAAATAAAAGAGTTTAGAGGGAAAGAGGGAAAAATTACAAGTAAAATAAAGCTTACAACAATGAAAATGGTGAAGGAAATGTAAAAACCCAACTTTCTCTCTCTAAAACTTCGTCTTTAACCTTGGAAATTATGTCTCTAAAAGCATGTAAAATCTAAATAATGGTGTAAGACCCTCCAAATTTTGTCCATCCTCTCTCCCTTAGCATGTGTGAAC